GGAATATGGCAGGAGACAGCGCGGCTGAGGATGAGGAGGAGTGAAGGAGGGGCACAGGAGGTATAACGAACGTACATGTCTATATAAGCGTGAGGGAGCGACGGAGGTGGCCGCGCAGCACGAGTCCTGATGAGCACACGCAGGGGGCTCTTCTCCTCGGAGGCACCAGGGGCGTAACCAACCATCGCTCGCCGCCCATCATCTACGCCCATTCCCCGGGGGAGAGATCCTGCCACATCCATACCCGAGGCCTTCACCTGCCTGACGTGAACTCCGGTCACTGGGACCCCACAAGACCTGAAGGAGGGGGTCTCCGCCTCGGCTCGGCTGGGGGCGTCTTGGGTAGGGGTCCTGCCTCCTTGACGGCTCTCCTGCCTCCCGAGATACGCCTTTCTTGTCGGCGGTCAAATAACGTTCAGACAGATGATGAATAGAACCATTTATGCTTTATATCTACATGAACTCTATAACCCATTGTATTCCGAACTCGTCTCACATGCCGATAACTTTCATCACCTTTCACAAAGCTTAGACCCTTGACGGACGCCGCGGGACGAGCGTCTGCAGAAGGCAACCCGCCCCGCCCGATTATGGCCGAAGCGAAAATGGAAGAGGGATTATAAAGCGAAAATATATGTGTACTAAAAGTGCGGAGAAGAAACGAAAATCCAACATTTGGTCTTGCGCAAATCAAGATATGGACCCCTATCGTGTCGCGGATGATTCTTAACAATTATTAATCCTACGGGCGGGGGGAGTAAGGCTCATTTTCCCGTGGCATGTCACTGTAATTAAGCCTCCTTTGTTCGACTGCGAGAGTCCTTCGCGAGGTATCAAACGCCGCAGCCATCTCGAGCACAACCTTCACTTTCCCTTAAACTACAACTAGAACCACAACCCGCACACGTTGCCCTCCTCCCCTCCCTCCTCCCCCCGCCCCCGACCAGAGCCCCGTCGCACGCCCCCACCCCCAGCCCGGGCCCCCTCCGCCTGAGCCCAGACTTTGATATATCCATTGCTAACACAGCAATGCATAGAGATCGATGTTGCAACGATCCCGCGCGCGAACTTAAGAAACTGACTTTGAAATTTCTCGAGTCGGGCTCCGTTGCGCCCTCTCTTCGGCATGT